CCTAAATGCATGGCAAATGCCTCCTTTTATAGGCCAAAATTGGGAACTATTGATTTGATGACTAATTGATGAGTGGGTGCCCAACTCTTGACTTGGTGACAATTCTTATCTTCTCCTGTATGTCCAAAACATCATTGATAATGTCAGAATTAGAACCACTTGAAATCATGAAAAGTTGTAGGAAATTTTCTCAGCTTTCCAGGAAAAAAAATAGAGGTTATTTGGACTTCTAAAACTCTAGATATAGGTCAAACACTGAACAATGTTCGAGCTGCAGGACAGATTCAGACTTCTTCCTTATTGCTATAATTTGGACTTAAAATTGACCTTATTAAATATTAGGCTCCATATGAAAGTTGTAGGTCTATGTCTTACCTTTCGATTCATATAAAGTAGACCTAAATTCAAGATCTACAGCTTTAGATATTATCTAATTACTGAACATTATTCCGGTTTGGACTGCACCGGCACCTTTTTTCTAAGTTTGGTCATCTCTTTGTCCTTTTAATTTTAGTTCTTAAACTCATTAATCAATCCTTTCATTTATGTGATAGGCCTGCATTTAAAATAAACATTTACCACATATTAAATGTATCTTGTATTATTAGATATGTTATTATAAGACATGCTTTAATTAAGGAGTTATTGATACTTTAAGTGCAAAATGATGATATAAAACCTTAATAAAAATGAACTTTTAAGTACTAATCAATGACTTCTGTGATTCATGAGTTGTAAATGTCATATAGAACTCTCACAAATTATAAAATTTAATAGATATATGATTTATTCAGGAGAGAAGAGAGAGAAAAAAGAAAAGAAAAAAAAAGAAAAAGACCTTAGAGACACCAGAACTCTGATAATAAAACCACTGATACGACATTAAGGAATGTCACCAATAGTGATCGGAAAGGGCCATATAAGCCCCTATACCTTTGAAAGATTTCTATGGCCCACTTTGTTTACTATTTATAACCTTCTTTAGTGTTGTTTGACTTGTCTCGTCGAGATCTTTTCAACATTACTTGTGGTGTCATCATCGAAGATTTGGTGTGCCTCTGAGGTCTCTTTAATTTTTTTCTCCCTCCTTTCTCTTCACAAGGAGAAGGGAGGAGAGGGAAAAAAACAAAGAAAAAAGATCTTAAAGGCACACCAAAACTTCAATAACAACACTACCAGTACCCTTGAAAAAATCTCAACGAGACAAGTCTAACAATACCAAAAAAGGTCACAAATGGTGAAAGAAGTAGACCATACAAGCTGTACAAAGATGTCGGAGCTCACTTGTATTTGGCCTCCTAATATGGGCTACTATAGTCACTATTGATGACTTTCTATAATATCATTAAATTTATTTTATTGATATTTTTTTAATAGTATTAGTGTTGCTATTATTAAAGTTTCGATATGCTTTCAAGATTGTATTTTGTTTTTTCTCTTCTAATTAATCATGTGTTTTTTAAATTTTATAAGAGTCACACATGACACTTACATCTAGCAAATTATGCTTCAAATATATTGTTTTACTAAATATTTTTTTAATTGTATTATACAAATAATTAAAAAATATATATAAAATATATAATTCTAATATATGAACGCTTAGAATTATATATTATATAATCGGTCACATCCAACTACAAAAGTCTTTAACCGTCGACGATGGAAAAAGTGAAACGAACAGCATTTGTAAGCTTCATGCGATACCATTGTTGTGCCGTACTGTACTTTTGTTTAAGATGCATTTGACTCAAAAGTTCGTTGATTTTTTAAAACATTATATTTGTTTCTAGATGTACTCTAGTTAGAATTTTGTCTTCCTTAAATAATAGGACCGGAGGACCTATATACAAAGAGTCAAACTTTGACTGACTATTTTCAAGGAAGAAAATCTCAAATCGGACTCTACTTCTACTTCTAATCCTCTCAACAAGACAATAGGCACTATCCAAATGTAAAAGATATAATATAATTCAAATAATATATAAATTCAGGCACAATCCTTACAAAAAAAAAAAAGAAAAGAAAAGGAAAAGGGAAAGTAACCGCCCGACTAGCATTCCTAGCTAGCTAGTTTTAACTATCACCAACCTGACTAGTTTCCCCTACGTCATTCTTTGCTTTGCCCGTCTTGTTTGGCTTATCTTGCTCCATTTCTCGAACTTGGTAGTCAGATCGTGGAAAATTAGTTATGGCTCTAATTCCACGAAATTCTATATTTTTCTTATCATAAGCTCTAGCAGCATCCTCTGCATTATCAAAAGTTCCCAGCCACAAACGAGACCCCTGCCCTGGGTCCCTTATCTCCGCCGCCCATTTTCCCCACGGCCGCTGCCTGACTCCCCGATACTTGTTCTTCCTCCCTTTCCCTTTACCTGTCTTCTTTGTGGTGCCCTCATTTCCTCCTCCTCCTTCTTGGTCAGTAGTACCACTGGAGAAATAGACGCAACCAAGGCATTGGGAGGTACTCAATTTGCAAACCGGACACGTCTCAGAATCTGAAACGTAAATTATGCTGCTCCCCCCTCCCACATTACCATCATCAGCCGCTAGGATTTGCTGTTGGTTCTGGTACTCTATTGGGCCGGTAGTACTGCCATGATCAATACCACCTGAGATTACATGCTTAAGAGCTGATACTATGGCGTTGTGTTCGTCTACTCGTCTTTGAACCAAATTGTTCGACGAGGAGGCATCCATTTTATTTTGTAGTATTGTACCTTTTTCTTCTAAGTTGTTGGATTTCGTAGATAAAAAGAAAAGTTGGGATTGTATGTTTCAAGGAAGATGACGTGAGGAAAGTTTTGAATGGAAGTGATGGGTATATATTGAGAGAAGAAATGAGCAGACTCCGGCTGGCCTGCCTGCGGAAACAATCGCGGCACGTGGAGAAACAAAACTTTATAGGGCCCACTTGTGACAGTGTGTCTCTTAGATGATTTATGTTGGCATAGTAAACTAAATACAAATAGTACACTGACTTTATGGGCTATGACTTCTGAGGCAACCTAGGACAACGGTGAAAGTGATGGTGTCTTAACGTCGGGATGCTATGTTCCTACGGGTCACAACTACACAAAAAAAGTTCAACAAATCACTTGTTGTATATTCCGTGTGTAACATGTGTGCATTTACATGCATGTTTTTATTAACCTACATGTTATGCAGATAATGTATTGTAGATTTAATTGTATTTATAATCATATATTGAAGACAACTCTTAATATATAATAACAGATTAAGCTATTCATCCTCTCTATTTTTAGTTTTTTACTATTTTTTTATTTACATTTTTTTTTATCTATATGCATAGGATTGCTTAGCATCATGTTTGAGAATCTTAGCATAAATTTATAGTTGAGAGGATTTTATTATTTCAAAATTAATTTTTATATTTTTATATCAATGGTATACTAAAAAAATGGTATACTAAAAAAAGGATTCCTTTGAGAGTATATTGAAATATAATGGTTTATGTACTTGATTTTAGGTTTTAGATAACAATAAAAAAAATCATCAAAACTATAAAGAAAAACTTATTGATTAATCTTTTGAAAAATTAAAAAACCTCTTAAATCATTATTAAATAAATATAATAATTGAAAGGAAAATAGTAATTGTGAGAATATAAATTCTAAAAAACTCGATAAATTGATATAAATCTGGTATAAATTCCTAAACAAAAGCATGTACACTAGTAGGTGATGCATGTGCACTAATAGGTTGTATGGAGGGAATAAGACATATGGGCAATATTGAGTATTTAAGGTTTGTTTTGGATTGTGGTAGATATTGTTTTGTAAAATGATTTTTGTTTGAAAATATATTAAAATAATTTTTTATTTTTTAAATTTAGTTTTAACATCAACACATTAAAAAGATAAAAAAATATTAAAAAAATTATTTAAAGCTAAAATATATTTTAAAATTTTTGAAAAACATGGATGACAAACAATACCTCTCTTTAGGACTTGGTGCACTTCCTTCTCATGTACACAATTGTTTTCATCATCTATTATTTCATGTGTAGCATTTATTTGCGTCTCTTTCCTCACATGATCTCTTCACATTCTTTCATGTATAAAGATTTTTAATACCTTAAAAATAGGCTTCATGAAATTTTCAAAAGGCCTACAATTAGAGGAGCATGCCCATCAACCCCACGTAAAAAAGCTTATGTATGTAACCAAAAAATTAAAAGGTTTAAATACAACTTCCCCCTCTAAAAAAGATAGTGCTTCATAGGCAAGTGCACACTAAACCCTTTGCGAGAGTTTGATGCACTCATTTCCTATATTTATATTTATTAGTTCCTTCTACTTTCTACGAATGTAATTTTTATATCCTGGCCCATGATATACTCACATTGACATAGATTGTATTGAGATTATAATTATAGAATAGGTAAAAAGATAAAGTTCATAAAGAAATTTGGAGACATTAAACATCTAATTTAACAAAAATAGTCATAATTTTAGATTTTATTATTAGATCATGATTTTTTTTAAATAATATTGTAGACTTAAGTGTATAAGGAGAGCGGCCTACTCTAACTAGACAAGTTTTAATTTTTTTTTCAAATCAGACTAATTTTTTTTGTTATTTTAATTATGATTTAGTTATTTTTTGATTTTAATTACTTTAAAATGTTGCTTTTGTTATTTTAATTATTCTTTAGTTATTGTTGGATTCTAATTACTTTTTGCTACTTAGCATTATATCCTTTGATTAGGTCAGTTCTAAACCTCTATATAATTAATTGATGTATTATTTTTTAATTAAATTATTGAATTACAAACTTTTTCAAACAAAATATCAAAATTTCTCTTTATTGCTCTACAATCTTGAATTATAATATTAGGGCTTGAAAACCCTAATTTTTATTCACGCTATATATCATATATCATGTCACACATTAAATTTCTTTCCTCTTATGTCATGTTTCACAAAAATCATCATGAAGCTATACAAGGATAAGTAAAGTCCATTGCTTATTGACAAGTTAACTAGGAGATGATTTGAAATGTTTAGAGCAAGGTTCATAGAGACCACACCTAATGAGGTCTTTAGCTTTTTTTTTTTTCCGCATCCTTTATAAAATATTTGACATAACCCCTACCAAAAATTATAAAATATATGAAAACATCTAGATAAAATATTATAATAATCCATATTAATTTTTTTTTTTACTTTCATCCTTAATTTTTTTTTCAATTCTAGCCTTTTAGGGAAAAAACTAATCACCAATTTATTATGATTCTTTTAGAAAGAACAAATTCAACAAAACAAGACCAAAGTATAAAATAAGGAGAAATCTCAAGGAAGATCTATATTTTTTTAATTTTTTTTAATTTAATATAAAAATTTATTTTCTTATTATTTCAATCCCTCAATTTAGGAGAAGAGGAATAAAGTCACTTGAAAACTAGGAAGAAGAGATAAAGTTATCATTTTGGCCATATTTTAATGACAAGATGTCAATGAGATTTATTTGATGAAGGAGTGTTCGATTGAGGTGTTTATTTTAATCTTTATTTGCTTAAAAAAATAGATCGAGGGTGAGAAAGAAATTTTTTTCTAATTTTATTTTGTATTTCTGAACTATTTTGAGATTTTTAGATTGATAAGTTGATATATATATATATATATATATATTCTAAAGTATTTATTAGGTATTTTAGGTGGAAATAAATTTTTTTTATATATGAAAAAACTCCACTCCTAATTTTGTGGCCGTCACTATATATGATGGCTGGATTATTACAAAGAAACGACATCTCATTTTTCTTAATTATTTTAAAAAAATATGAATAGATGACATGTATGAATCTTTGACAAAGAAAAAAAAAAAAACTTATGCGTGCAGGTTTGAACTTGCATCCCAATGCACATGAACTTTTGTTTTATTAGGTTAGGCATACTAGGAAACTCTGTCCTAGACGTCCAATCCCAGTTTACATAAAAAAGTTAAATCTAGATTAGTTAAATAAAGGTATGGGATATCTAATCTGGGGGTATTTAATTTTAATTAAAACTATTTAAAATAAATAAATTAAACAAATAATGATATTTTTAAATATAATATAATTTTTATGTGGTTTTTTTTTGTAAGATTATAATTTTTTTCTTATATTAGCAGGTATTCTTTCTTAAGATTATAATATTTTATTTTTCTTTAATTTTATTTAATAATTTCCCTATGCATGTTTATTTTTATTATTGTTTAATTAAATAAAGAATTAATTTTAATAAATAAATTTATTAAACTTAAGAGGATCTATAATCCATGTTACGAGATTAAATATCTTAATATGCATTTATCTCTTAACTTTCCAACTTATTTTTTAGTAAGAGTTAATATATATATATATATATATATATATATATATTTTGCATACATTGGTGCATATGGTTCTAAATTTATTTAATTAAATATATAAATTAGTTTTTCTATTTGCAATAAAGTATTTTTCCTAATTTCAAAAACACATTGGAAATGCTTGTATATTTATTTTTTGACATTAAAAAATATTTTAATCCTACCCATGGTTAAACACAAGTCGACTAACTAAATTTTAAAATTTTACTTGCAAATAGATAAAACATTAGTAATGTGTGTATTTTTTTCTTTTAAAAAAAATCTCACTCAACTCGTGATATGATCAAAAAATTAATGTTTTCTTTCAAGTATAAAAGTGTCGACTTTAAGTATTAGTTAACCCGACACACAAGCAAAACCTAGCATATATGTTGAACAAGTATAACAAAGTTATGATTGCTCATTTTATATCTCTTATTATACCATAAAATGTCATAAATTAATGTTTTTTTAAAATAATATTATTTTAATTTTTTTAAATTAAATTAGATATTAACTGAATCAACCAAGTTGAGGGTTGACTTATCAAGTTAATTCTTGGTTAGGTTAGTGTTTATATATATATCCGAGGCCATAGGAGTTTAATAAAAGTGGGTGAAATGGACTTGGAACAACTCTCTCTTAACAAGAACACTGCTACAAGAATAGTCTCAAACTTACAAAGATTTTTTTTCCTATTATACCCTCAGTATTTGCTTTAACATTTTTTTTTTATTAAGGATTGTCTACTCTTATTTCGTTTTAGCTCTTTTTTATTGATATTTCTACTTTTAAAACATTATTTACTTACAACATATTTTCATCTCTCTAGTTTACACAAATCATAGATCAATGATGATTATTAACCAATATCTTAATATATGTTAATAGAATAGATTAGAAAAATTCATAATATATTCATTAATGTGTTATAACATATATAGAAGTGTTGCATAAGTTATGAAGATTTACGGGAAAGGAAAGACTTGAATGTGTCCTTCATTATTTGTCAACTTATTTTCATTTTTGAATTTTTTATTTTGGAAATAATATATATAAAAAACCAATTTTTTTTTGTAATTTTATTTCTTCCCAATATGAGAACATGTCTTAATTGGAGTTATTAAACTATAAGCTAATGTTAAAAATGTAATTCTTTATACAAAAATATGTTTATTGGAAATATTTTTATATAAAAAGGAAACAAGTTTGGTAGAACCATAACATTATATATATATATATATATATATAATGTTATGGTTCTACCAAACTTGCAAGATCTCGATGATAAATGATACATAATTGTCTCCTTTTTTTTTCCTACTTTTTTGTTTATCAATGA